GAGTCTTCCTTTAGGTCTTCTCCCAGTTGGACATGGAAAATCTTACCAGGGGTGGCGTCCAGGAGGCATCCTGACCAGATGCCTGAGCCACCTCAACCGGCTCCTCTCGATGTGGAGGAGCAGCTAGTCTACTCTAAGCCCCTCTAGGATGACCGAGCTTCTCACCCTATCTCTAAGGGAGAGCCTAGCCACCCTGCGGAGAAAATTCATTTTGCCCGCTTGTATCCACAATCTCACTCTTTTGGTCACTACCCAAAGCTCGTGACCATAGGTGAGAGTAGGAACATAGATCGACCAGTAAATTGACAGCTTTGCCTTCCAGCTCAGCTCTCTTCACCATGACAGATCGGTACAACGCCCGCATCACTGTAGACGCAGCACCAATTTGTCTGTCAATCTCACACTCCATCTTTCCCTCACTCGTGAACAAGACCCTGAGATACTTAAACTCCTCCACAAGGTAGACCTGGAAGGCATGGGATTGAGGAGGTCTTCAAAGTACGCTGTCCACCAATCCACACTGTCACAAGTAGATGTTAGCACTCTAAACAGTGTTGGTGGCACACTGCTTTCCCCTCCTGAGATGCCAGATGGTGGACCAAAATCTTCTCGAAGCCGTATGGAAGTCTTGCTCCATGGTAACCCGTGGTTTACGTTGCAGGTAAATACATCTTTTCTGTGTTTTAAAAAGAACTGAAAGATTGAATTTACACATGTTGCTAGGGAGAGGGATGTTTGGGCTTCCCTCTTGGATCCTTACATCTGCACCCTGAACTTGGTTATGAGGAAGAAAGTGGATGGATGGCAGTGTTGGTGACGCGCTGTTCTCATGGTAATGACCTATGCACGAGTAAAGCTCATCGGTGAGTTGTTTGAGTTTCTGCTGGAACTGAGGAAAACTCCTTTGATCGGTGGAGCTTCTTAAATGCTCTTTGGATTCACATACGCAGAATGTCATCAGTCTGGCAAGAACAAGCTACGGCAGAATGGCTGTGCAAAGACAGAAGCTGTAAACAGAGAGAAAATTAAACTCAAGCTGTGCTGCAGGAATGAACATTAGGCGGTGATTAATCCGAGGGACTTATATCCGCTCTATAGCAACAGTTAGAAATCCTACAAGGTGGCTGTTTATTAAACCAGTTACATCTCTTCACCTGAAACATTTGTTTTTATAGAAAATTGCCATACTGTTCTTTTAAACAGTCATCTTGTTTGTGGAGTAGCTCAATTATGTGTTATTAGACGCCAATGAGGTACAGAAAAGCCTGAAGGCTTTCTTCAATTTTTGTCTTTTTCCTGCAGCAACTGTTGGAAGATTGATTTCTTAGATCCTTCATCACCTGCGGTGCAGTAGGCAGAGAAATAATTGCTTATTTTGAAACAGCACCCACCTGAATTAAAGGGCTTTGGTTCTTCAGGTCTTATGGAGAGACAGTTAGTGAGGGTAGTTTGTATTAACATGGCATTAAACTGGACTAAACGAGCTGCTAATGCCCATCTTGTGATTGTTCATTAGTTTATTAACCACTGAGCCATAACATCAGGTGGAAGGTGAGGACCATTAGCCTGCTATTTCTGCTTCTGCTAAAATAAAAGCAAGCAGCCTTTCTAAAGTCCAACTACTATACTTTTAGATTTGCTGACAGAAGCAGAACGATAGCCAAGCTCCCCACCAGCATCCATTTAACATCCCATAATACACTGATGGAGAAGTCAGTTCTTTAACTGCTGCATTTTGGATTCATTTGCAGTCATCTGACTGTGTAGCATTGTGGGATTTCCATTCAAGCAGTAAGAGACTGTTTTAATGTTATCAAACTTCTTTATTTGTTTTTGAATGTTTCATTTCTCACTTGAGAAGGTTTTCTATGCTTTAAAAAGTCTAGGATGAAGAAGCAGCTTTCAGAATCAAGACACAAGCTCAGTAGCTCTTTTAAAATGTGCTCAGCGTTATCACATCCAAGAGGACTAAAGCTTATTTCACACAGAATGCAGAACAGATGCGGTCCGGTTTCTGTACGGCTTCAGCATCGATCAAAAATTGCTGCGTCCAACCAGAGCATTCACACCAGATGCGGAGCACCAGAAAGTTTCTGAGTGGAGCCTATTTTGTTTTTCTGCATGCAGATTGTCATGAAGTTAAAGAAATAACATGAGGACAGGAAGTGAGACGTGTTACAGCGAGGTGCATTTGGTGTATTTCAAAATAAAATTTGTGCCACATTATTTTGCAATTGGTTTATTGTAATTGACAGCCATGTCAGTTCACAATGTATTCATGTTAGTGTTACAGGTACACTTTTTAAAGTATTGTGTCAAATTTCTAATTATTTGGTGCTCTTGTGGGAGACTTTCAGCACACGGACTACAGTCAGTGTGAATGGCGGTTTGTCCAGAAGCTGTCTGGAGGTCATACTCACTGTGTCTCAATTCAGGGTTTGCATCCTTCGAAGGACCCAGCCTACTCGGCCGACGTGGGCTTGGTCCTCCGTCGGCCGAGTAGACCGGATGTTAACGGCTGTCAATTTGGACAGGCCTAGCCTTCATGAATTCCCACCACTCCCTCGGTGAACGTTCCGTCGCCTAGCAACCGTGGAACCGCTGAGCAGAAGGGAGAAGGAACTTTAAACGATGGAGCTCGAAGTTTTATATAGCTTTTTAATCATTTCCTTGACTGTTGGAGATCTAATTCAGAGAAAATACTTTCGACAAGCTGAGCCTGAGCAAAGACGTGATAATAGTTTTTAATACTTTCTAAGGGTCTTAATTTGACCAAAACCGATTTATCACCTTTTAAGACTTTTCAGACCCAGCGGGATACCCTCTAGTAAACAATTCTCATTTGTAAACAAAAATAAAATTCAAGAGTTTAATACAGAGCTGATTTTATTTAGATATTTCTTTTATATGTACATGTTTAATCTTCCTTAACCATTTTTTCTAGCAAAGTAAAAAGCTGTCAAAGTTCTCCCTTCTCTCCTGTGCCCTCTGCTGCTCTGCCTCCCTCTGCAGCCTCATGTCCTCCCTGATCAGCTCCAGAAGCTGGTCATCGCTGTCACCTTCCCCTGGATGCCCATTTTCTCCAGAATAGTCTTAACAAACATGTAAGAAAAGAAACAGGAAGAGAAAAGAGGACAACGGGTTATTCCTTTCATGTTTTCGCAGAAAAAACTAAACTCAAACGACAGTTTTTAAAATATGAGATGTTATTGTACCTCCATGCCACAGCCGCCGAATACTTTGCTCCAGTGATCATGTGGTCCATCTCCGCCGTAAGCTTAATAAAGTCCGTGGTTTTCTCTTTTGTCCCTAAAATACAAACTTCTATTAAAATCAGGGGAAAACGTAGCGGGAGAAGTACGACACCGAGCGCGGCCGAATATACGAGCCGAGACCGCAATACAAGCACTTTTACTGTAACATTTCAAACTAAAATAACATTCATGTATCACAAAAAGCCCTTAACCTAACAGTTTTCAAGTTTATTCGACGGATGCAGACCTTGAACTGAGACACAGCGACTGACATTTATATGCGCAACCCTCTCCGACAGCTCCCGCTTCACTGTCCGCCATTGTTTTAAAAAGTTCTGCCGTCCGGCCCGCAAGGCATCTTGGGAAATGTAAACCACTGAAGGATACATCGGACCCATCCTTCATACAGGAGAAAAGAAGGCCGGATTCGTCGACCGCATTTGAAGGAGTCTTCGAATTGGGACAGGCCAAGTCGCGGCGCTGTGACGTAACCGGCTGACGAATCTGGCCGACGAAGGATGCAGACCCTGAATTGAGACACAACCACTGTCTCTGCACTGTCTCTGTACTACCTTCGAACTCTCACCGTACTGTCTCTGTACCAGGCCCGGAGTGGCTAATCGGGAGGGTCTGGAGAATTCCCGGTGGGCCGCGCGATGTTTGGGCCGCATGGGGCCGGTGCTCTCGTTTTTGTTTTTTTTATCATTTTATTTTTATTTTTTGGTGCCGGTGTTCAGTCATGGCACTGAGGCCGCCGGGCTGATCACATACGCTCCTCCCGGCTGTCTCTGGCTGGCTCTACCTGCAGGCTGCAGCTCGTTTTTTTCCCCCCGTATGCGCCTGTGCGCACCACGTGACCACGCAGTTGACGGAAAGATGGAAAGTAGAAAGAGCAAGGGTGGCGCGGAGAAGGCAAGAATTAAAAAGAGGAAAGCGTTGGAAACAGATGCAGCCAAGGCCGGATTAACCATATGGGCAATTGACCAGGGTCCACGAACTCTAAGGGGCCCAGGGCAGCAAGCGCACGAGCAAAATACTGTAGGCATGTCTGTAATCTCCCGCATTATATTAAACTAGGGTGACCGTATGTCCGGTTTTCCCCGGACATGTCCACTTTTCACTGTCTGTCCGGGCGTCCGGACTGGGGGTCCGCGGTCGTATTGATGAAAATGTCCGGCTTTTCATCCAGGAGCAGGGATCGAATTATGGGGGAGTTGTATATCTTACACATCCAGGGGAGCCGGAAACAAGTTTTCTATCTATATTACATCATTTATGGACTCTTCTGAGCAGAGAGCACAGAGAGCGGCACAGCGCGTTATTGCGCAGCGATCCAGGCAGCTGCGTCCAGCGCACGGTCCATTCTCAAAGTGGCGCAACCAAAAAACTATAATTAGCACACGATCGTTCATGTCCGCACATATTCTCTATTTTCTGTCTTATTTGTGCCTGAAGCGCTCTGCTGCTGCGCAGCTCATCACCTGTGCTGCGCGGTGCTGCGGTGATTTCACCTCACTGATGCAGCATCGAAAGGCGCACTCCGCTTTGCGGTCAGGAGATCCATTTGATCTGCTCAAAAGTAACTGATGAGGTGAAAAAGTAAGAATCCTGGCAGCAGTTTTTTCTGGAGAGTTTAGAGGAGACGCAGGAAGATGAGAGACAGACAGGACAGGAAAATAGTTAAATAAAAACAAGTAAACAAAACTTAAGTGTGGAAAAGTAAAATGTAGGTAGATTTATCTCCACTACATGTTTTTACCTGTATAAAACAATAAGTTATACACATGTCATATTTACACATCTGATACAATTCAGATCACCTTCAAAACTCAGTCACACACCCAGGGCCGTTTCAAGACATTTTGGGGGCCAAGGCAAAATGACCCCCCCCCCCCCCCCCCCCCATAACTGGGCTCCCCAGAAGCCTCTGTGTAATTGTTACCCTCTCCAGTAGTGTTAGTTATATGGTGTTTATAAAAGCTCCTCAGACATTACTGACATGTTCTAATATTATCAGATGAAAAACTAAATTATCAGACATGCTGTCTCATCTGCTGCTTTTCTAAACCTGCAAAAAGTAACAAAACTATTTGAAAGCCACTATTTGTGGATTCTCTGAAAGTTTCCATGGAGTGTGGGACAACTTATTTTTTCATTGATCCTATCGTCTAATCTCACAGCTGAAACAAGCATCCTTAATCATCTGTGCACAGGAAGCTTACCGATGCTGTAGTAAAACAAAAGGTATAATAATTTATTATTATTAAAACCTTGTTGCAGCACTAAAGCAGAAAAATGAGATTTTGCAATACATATGCTAAATATTTACATATGAATTGTTTTAGAGCCCTTTTATTGGCAGAATCTGATATTAATTTAGTTCTTACAAAAAAATGGGTCCCAACATGGTTTGTGTGGCGTTGCCATAGTGTGACGACATAGGCACAGATCCCCTGTCCTCTTGTTTGGAAATGGAAATATGATCACCCTGTACTAAACAAACTGTCCACCCGGGCTTTTGCGCTGCACAGAGACGCTTCGCTGCCTATGACTGAACGTCAGTTGAGAGTCAGTCTCATGCAGACTGACCAATGAAGAGAGGGCCTCAAGTTAAGACCCTCTCCTCATTGGTCAGTCCACACAAGGTGGGTCAAAGGTTACCCTGAGCGGGTTACGTGATGTCAGGCATTCAAGCATTGAGTATATTTACTGCATATTACAGTAAAATATTCTGTATGTGACCATATTATGGTGATCCTTGGGTCGTGATGATGGGGCCCTTGAATATTGTTGCCCAGGGTACAACGAAGTCTTAATCTGGCCCTGGATGCAGCTAAATGTGCAAAAATGAGCACCTTTTTTTCTCAAACAAGCTAGCGGTCTTTAACTTCAAATGAAGATAAAACGGGTAAGGCAAGTCAAGATGTTAAACTTTACCGGCTGCAAATCACCATTCAAGTTAATTAAGCAATAATGAATTATATGGCATCATGACATAACGTTATGTAATATAATTTACAGTATGATGTGACTGATGCCACCAAACTGTCTTGTCAGAGTCAAACACAAGATCCAGTAGGCCTAATAAGCACCAGGCAGAAACCCACAATTCCAGAGCGGGCATGTACAGGTAGGATTACTTATTGAGTCAGTGAACTGAATATTATTAAAATTTATATGATGAAAACTATCCTGGCTCTATATGAAAGTGTTCTAAAATGCTAGATGATTCAGCATTGATCAGAAAGTGTGTAAAAAAGGAAAATGAATGCTGAATTGTGACCATTTTCACACAATGTAGTGTCAGAAGAAGAGCCAGGAGCCAGCAGTGAGGGTATTGCTCCTGTTGGGATAGAAGGTGAGCCAACTCATGTGCAAACAAGCAAACATCAGTTTCATTATAATAATTTTAATGTCCATATAATAGTAGTGACCTGTTGAATTTTTATTAGTAAATGCACAAAGCCCACAACAGATCGCTATTAGAATGAAAGTAAAACGAAATAAGCCTGCATATTTTGCCATAGAAAATATTTTAATTGGTTACAAAAAATGTGTTTTCCATATCAAATGTGCTAAAGCTTTACAGATGATTATTTTAATTGTGTGCAGGTGAGTCTAGGGAAACTGGAAAAAGTGTGAAAGGGAGTGCTGAGTCATTTCATTTTAAAGGTTTGAAAATCTCAGAACAGCTGTTTGAACAGAAGGTAGATTGTTATATTGTTAGAGAATGTGTTGTAAAGAACAATGTTGGAGATGTGCACTGATGTTCAAATAAACCTACATTGTAAAGCAACTCTTTCTTGCTTTGCAAGAAAGAGTTGCTCTTTCTTGTAAATAGGGTTGTCACGGTATGAAAATGTAACCTCACGGTTATTGTGACCAAAATTATCACGGTTTTCGGTGTTATCGCGGTATTTTTTAAACGGTGTTGCATATGTTCAGAAAGCATTGATAGTCCTGTTCTACACAAACTGAAATAGTTCTGAAAAGGTTTAGCAGTGTTTATTAAACCTAAAATAACACAAAGCCTTAGCAAAAGTGCAACTTTTCACAAGTAAAGGAACAAACAGCTTCTTCTGGAACATGTTACAGTAGTCAGTGCAGGTGTAAATGATACAAATCCAAACATTCAAAACATAAACAATATGTAAACAAATCAAAGAAACACCACTTGTTTTCTCATATACTTGTTTTCTTCATTATCAAAATGAAAATCTAAAACTCCAGTCCACACTTGACTTGAGCTCTGTACAAGTCAACCTTAAAAAAGATGTATTTAAAATAAATGGCCACTTTAAACAAATGACTAAAATAACTACTACACTATGTAATCAAATCCAAATGTTCAAGTATAAATGGCATTGAATAAGTAAACAAATCAATGACAAGGAACTAATTGTATATTTCTCTTCATCATCAACAAATAAGATGCTTCATCCAGCAACAGGGTGTCCGTGACACGGTTTAAATGCTGGCAGAGGACGCTGCGGCTGCAGTATATAGTGACTCGTTGCATTCTCCCTCAACCAAAAGTCCTCGCGTCATGCATTTAAGCTAAAATGCTAATGTTAACTTACCTTGCACTGGCTGTAGAGACGTGGGTGATGGTCACGCAGATGTGCCATTAGATTCGAAGTGTTGCTGCCTTTTGCAGACACTTGTTTCCTGCACGTTCTGCAAACGGGATAGCCGTCTTCTATTAACTGTCCCTCAGCATTTTTCAGAAATCCAAAATATGCCCATACTTCCGATTTAGTCTTCTTTGAGGGCTGATGGATGTCCTGGGCGCTGCCGTCTCCTCCTTCGGCCGTTATTTCAGCTTCAAAGTTTTGGTGCCGTTGCAAACTAAAAGTGCGTGTGCGCGCCGCGGGAACTTCAGCTGAAGCGACGGTGGCTGGTAAGGGTCAATCCGCCGAAACCGCGGCCACGGTAAACCCACCGAGATAATTTAGTTTTTTAAAAACTGGACGGTTATTTTTATTGTCAACCTTTTTACCGGGGTTTACCGCTATACCGGTTATCGTGACAACCCTACTTGTAAAGCAACTCAACTCTTTCAACTCTTTCTTGCTTTACAATTACAAGGCTTTACTGAGTAGTGTGCTTTTGTAGACTATACATATAAAGTTTTAACATGATTTTAATAATAATTCGTTAAGTGGGCCGGTCTGGGGTCTGAAACTCCAGGGCTGAAAATGTGTCCCACTCCGGCCCTGCTCTGTACTGTCTCTGTACTGCCTCCGTACTGTCTCCGTACTGTCTCTGTACTGTCTCCGTACGGTCTCTGTACTGTCTCCGTACTGTCTCCTTACTGTCTCTGTACTGTCTCCGTACGGTCTCTGTACTGTCTCCGTACTACCTCCGTACTGTCTCTGTACTGTCTCTGTACTACCTTCGAACTCTCGCCGTACTGTCTCTGGACGGTCTCTGTACTGTCTCCGTACTGTCTCCATACTGTCTCCGTACTACCTCCGTACTGTCTCCGTACTGTCTCTGTACTGTCTACGTACGGTCTCTGTACTGTCTGCGTACTGTCTCCATACTGTCTCCGTACTACCTCCGTACTGTCTCCGTACTGTCTCTGTACTACCTTCGAACTCTCGCCGTACTGTCTCCGTACGGTCTCTGTACTGTCTCCGTACTACCTCCGTACGGTCTCTGTACTGTCTCCATACGGTCTCCGTACGGTCTCTGTACTGTCTCCGAACTGCCTCCGTACGGTCTCTGTACTGTCTCCGTACGGTCTATGTACTGTCTCCGAACTGCCTCCATACTGTCTCTGTACTGTCTCCGTACGGTCTCTGTACTGTCTCCGTACTACCTCCGTACTGTCTCTGTACTGTCTCTGTACTACCTTCAAACTCTCGCCGTACTGTCTCCGTACGGTCTCTGTACTGTCTCCGTACTGTCTCCATACTGTCTCCGTACTACCTCCGTACTGTCTCCGTACTGTCTCTGTACTGTCTACGTACGGTCTCTGTACTGTCTACGTACTGTCTCCATACTGTCTCCGTACTACCTCCGTACTGTCTCCGTACTGTCTCTGTACTACCTTCGAACTCTCGCCGTACTGTCTCCGTACGGTCTCCATACGGTCTCTGTACTGTCTCCGTACTGTCTCCATACTGTCTCCGTACTACCTCCGTACTGTCTCCGTACTGTCTCTGTACTGTCTACGTATGGTCTCTGTACTGTCTACGTACTGTCTCCATACTGTCTCCGTACTACCTCCGTACTGTCTCCGTACTGTCTCTGTACTACCTTCGAACTCTCGCCGTACTGTCTCCGTACGGTCTCCGTACGGTCTCTGTACTGTCTCCGAACTGCCTCCGTACGGTCTCTGTACTGTCTCCGTACTGTCTCCGTACTGCCTCTGTACTGTCTCCGTACTGTCTCCATACTGCCTCCATACTGCCTCTGTACTGCCTCCGTACTGCTTCTGTACTGCCTCCGTACTACCTTCGTACTGTCTCTGTACTACCTCCATACTGCCTCCGTACTTCCTTCTTACTGTCTCTGTACTGTCTCCGTACTGCCTCTGTACTGTCTCCGTACTGTCTCTGTACTGTCTCTGTACTGTCTCTGTACTGTCTCCGTACTGCCTCCGTACTGCCTCTGTACTGTCTCCGTACTGCCTCTGTACTGTCTCCGTACTGTCTCTGTACTGTCTCTGTACTGTCTCTGTACTGTCTCCGTACTGTCTCCGTACTGTCTCTGTACTGTCTCCGTACTGCCTCTGTACCATACTTGACGTAAAACAGTCATAAGACTACTCTAACATTACAGAAAAGCATATTCACTTACAAAAATATAAAAACAAATGTATGGATCATTTCATTAAACTAGAACTGCTAAATTTTTTTAGCACCAAACCTTTTCTGTTGAATACTTGGTTTAATGTGTGGATCAATAAAGCTGTGAGTCTATGAGTCCCCACAATCTGTGACATTTAAAACCCAAATGAGAGATTTTACGCTTTCCATTATTGTCATTGTCACTGAAATTGTCAAATTTGGGTAATTAGGTCATCTCTGTTGTCTAATTTAAAAGCTATTTTAATAATTCACATAGGGCACAATAAATCCCATACAGGGCTTAAAATAACATTTTTTGCAGCTGATTTGGGAGTTGCCAGGGGTGCGATATGCATAAAATATGAACCCGCACAGCGAGCTCTAAAACAGCTCTTTTATTCCTCTCTGCATGACCGGAGTGTATTTCCGCATTAATATCCCCACCACAGCAGGTTGAAGTCCCAGGATGCAGCGGTGCCTTCCAGCTCCATGCAGGTGCAAGATGTTGGCTGCATCCAGAAGCCATATTGAAATGCTGACCTTTAACACAACTAAAGAATTAAAGAGCTGCATACAGATGATCTGATCCATCAGTGCTGCTGCAGCTTCTTCTTTGTTCAACAGATCTCAATGATTCCCTTTGAAAATATGAAAAAATAATTAATTTAAACCATTTGAAATACCAAGTTAGCATTTTTTCTTCACTTGACTTTTCTGGGAATAATGTAATAATAAAGTGGGGCGCTCAAGTTGGGCTTATTTAATTAGTCATTACAACCCATATTGTTTTGAAGCCAGTGCAATTTAATCAGGTATGCAAATGCATGGCCTATATTGCAAAAGTAAGCATGTACAGAAGATGAAAGCTTCAGAAAACGTTGCAACACTGCCACCTACTGAGTTTGGGCTGCATGTGCCCAGTTTTACTGGATCAGAGCAGGAAGCTGCAACCTGCAGCTGTGGAGACAGGTGTGCCTCTTCGACTCCTTCAAGCTTTGACCAAAACTGACACAAACCTGATTAGTGCTTTTATTGAAGTTGCTTACTAGAACGACCAACTTTAGCTGTTTCCCATTCTAAGTCCTGTCAGATTACTACAATGTTTCTCTTCGTTTCAGTGCCACAGCTGGTTAAAAACAGCTCAAGTTTACACCAAAAATACGTTTCTAAAATAGTTTATTAGCACTCCCTACTTTTTTGTTTTGATATGTTTCTAACAAACGGAGGCCAACCCAAATTTAAACTAACTAAATATTTGAGCCAAATATTGCAACAGAGGAAGTAATTTTGAGCAAATATATGAATTCACTCAAATTCAAAACATTCAAAAGGGGCTAAGTGGTGCCATTCAGTAACTTATAAAAGAGGAAATTTTAGATCAGGTCTGGTGTAGCATGTTTCTGTTTATTAACTCAGATTTAACTAATAATTTGATGTTACATCTTTAAGCATATTCTACAAACAGAACAGGATTAGCTGGAAAACTTTTTCTTTTAAGTTACTAGTTTATTTCCTTTTGACATTTAAAATTGTAATCAGAGATTTAACTCTTACTTTTTTTTTTATTTGAAGCTTTAAATCAAATTTGAGGCCCGTTCAGTTGTAAAAGTCACAATAGATGCACATTTCCAACCTGCCTTTTGTTGCTTTTATGAAACAAATATGATCTAAAGATTAAAAAAATACTAATTTGTCAACAATTCCAGCATTTGGAAGTCAAACAGTATACAAAAAGCTTCATTTCTGTGGACATTATTGGTGTAAAAACATTTTAACACGTTCATAATTAAATCAGAACTAAAAAACAAACCTTGTACTTTTGCCAGCCAGAATGTTAAAGACAACAACCATTTGTGTTTCAGTTATTTATTTTCAAAGTCCAGGGATAACACAATAACTTCTAACATTGAAATGTGCGTTACACTTGTTAAGTGTTGACAAGATGAAAATAATGTAAGAAAAATTGGTATTTACACAACTGTTCAACCCAGCAAGGCACCAAAGACAAACGGTGAGGAGAATGTTGCTCGTGTCATAAACACTAAAAAATAACTAACTTGTGAACTTGGTATGCAAATCCAAATAAACACAGTTAGCAACATTATTATATATACTTTAGTTTTCTCTTACTACAAAACATTCTTTATTTCAATAGTTAAAAGCTAATAAGACAATAGTGGTGTTGTAGCTAAAATATATATATATTATATAAATAAAACTTTATGTGTACACTTTTTACTCCCTTTTGTGGCTAAAGGCTGTCCTCTGTGCAAGGAGAAAAGAACGCCCAGCATACAACTTAGTTTTTAGTTCCTATTATAAACATTTTATTCAAACACACCTAATAATTTATCATGAGTATAACACAGCAGCGGTTTCTTTTCAACAGTTGTAAAATATAAGCTGCTGTATGTGATTGCTACTGACGAAGGTCTGATTAAACTACGATAAGGCCGATTGTCTGAACATCCAATAGTTTCTGCTTTTGGGTTTTGCCCAGAGAGAGATCCACACTCCTGGCCTCACAAACGGCTAAAAGTCATGAGTGAAACGTTCCTCGCACACATCCTTGAGCGGGGGCGCTCAAGTGGTGTTACAAATAGAAAGTGGCTCACTTAAGATAAATGAGAGGCAAAAGAGTTCCTGCCTCTGCTGCAGCCGGTTGAAACGAGCACGGGGTTCAGACTCGGTGTAAAAATGGCAGCAGCACTTCTTCTCTACTGCATCCTCACACCTTTAGAAGCCTCTTTAGGCTACAGAACGAGAAAAGCATTCGCATCAAAATGATGCCAGAAAGAGAAGAAAGTACTTTACTTTGAATTCATTTGAAAAGTGGAATAACTTTGCGGTTAAGGTAGCAGGTGGCAGTGATGCTAGCCACGAGTAGCACCATTCCTCTGCACGACGACGACAGGGTTAGTTAAAAATGATGAGGCTTCTTCACGACCGGTCCAAGAGGAAGAACTGCAGGCAGTTCACTGAAGTGGTAATCCGACCGATTCCTGATCCTCATTTGTTTAGTCTGATGGAGACATAAGACGTAGGAATGTATCCTTCATCACCATTGTTCCTGCGGACGCGTGTCCAACCGTCCCCTTTGTCCTCTTCAACCACAGCCAGCACCTCCCCTTCCTGCATGGAGATGGTTCCCTCACTTGCACCTGAGGAAGGAAAACAGCAAACATGAAATAGAAATGTTCAGACCCGATTCAGGAAAAGGTGCACGAATGATCTAAAGATTGGTGAGATATTTTCACCTGGACACGTTCATTTTTTCCAGTAAACCACATGATAGTGCTGTATTTGTTGTGACCAAACAAGATACTTTCATTAAGATGATGAATCGGGTGATTTAAAGCTGTGGCATACCGGGGAAGTTGTACATGGCTGTGCATTCCCCAATCGGAGCGACTAGTTCCTCGTCTTCAAAGTCATCATCAAACTCTGCGTAAATGGCTTGAGAGGGATCTGGAGTGCTTTCATCAGAATGAGCTCCGTCAGGACTGGAGACAAAAAACACAAATCTGTGCACATGTCTGAAGAATATTGTGTGTGGATGGAAATTCCAGTTACCTGAGCGCATCATGAGCTCCGTTATTGTTAAACACGTTGGGTTTATACCGTAGTGTGTCTCCTCGAGCACCTGCTTCAGCCAGCCACGTCTACACAAGAGCAGATTGCCAAAACAGAAAAAGTGAGTCGCTTTTATCAGCATGTCGGGTTTACGCGATAAAGAAAGAAGCCTTAGATTACATTTTACAATGAAACCAGGCCCTTGCAAAATAAAATAAACACAAGAGAGGGGAATTACCTCATATTTGTTCAGCTCTACTTTGAGCCGTTCCATTTTCAGAGACGTCTGACTGATCTGAGATGCAAGGCTAGCCGGATCTCCCATTTGAGGGTTTTTCTCGTAAACATCTTTCATCTTTTCGAGTGCTTCACTGGGAAGAGAAAGAAAGACGGGAGAAAAAAAGTGACTTTTTGATGAAAATGTGTTCCACGCACACAGAGCGCAGAGTTGTTTACACTGCATGAATATTGTATTCACATTTCCTGCAGAGATATTCTAGTACCTGTGCACTAATGCACAGGATATCAACTCACACACACACACACACACACACACACACACACACACACACACACACACACACACACACACACCTCTGATCAACTTCCTTCTGCAGGTCTTTAGAAATTTCCTCCAGTTTCTGTTGTAACCTCTTCCTGCGCTGCTCAGGGGGGAGATGGGCAAAGTCCTCCGTCACCGTGGGCTGTAAAGGGTCACAGGATGGGTGGGTTGGTGTTGAACTTTGGTTGACATTTTCAACTTTCATAAGCACACCGTCACTGAGACCAAAGAAATGGACATGTGAGAAGAAAACACCAAGCCTGTGGTTTGGGACCAGCTCAACCCCATTCGATGGTTTTAGTCTTCAACTGAGTAAAATGTTCTGTGAGCTGAACTCAAACACCACCCATTTGCCACCAATAACACCCACAATACGTTTCATTTTGTGATTTTAAATTAAGTCCTAGCTGGAAGAAGTGACACAGAAGTGCAAAAGTTCAGGCCAATACAAAATCAGGTTACTGATCGCCCAGTTTCCTCGTGAACCACCAAGAATTCCCTCCTCCTTCCACCACCAGATGGCCACCTCTTCAACACAAACTCGACATGACTATTGGAGCACAGAGGAGTTAGCAGATATCTGTGCAGGTACAGACAAAGTGGCCATGTGAGATCCCCCACACCACATTTTGTTGTCCATATTACGGTACCATGATCTTGTCTGGGGTAAATTTCTGCAGGGAAAAACAAACAGTGCATGCATAATCAATAGAAAACTGACACAACTATAAAGTGGTTTGTGCTTTACTTTCCTTAAAAAGTTCATTTCAACCTACATTAGTGTTAAAAATACAGGCGGTGTGTTTAATCAAAGTCTAACTTTGAAAAAGTCAGTGATTCCCAAACAGGCATGAGAACTGAAGCCCTTAAGCGTGGAGGTGGCCTGGCACCTGAATCATCTCCTCATGTCACTCACCGATCTCCTGAGAGTCCGGAAGGAAGAGATTCTGGGTTTGACCGTCTTATTGATCTCCTTCAAACAGTACGACAGTGGCTCCCGGCTAAACTTGGGGGACGGGGATCCGTTAGAGGGCAAAGGGTCAGGAGGGCTGGAGAAAGGGGTGAGCATGGAGGAGGAGAACTGGAGTTGGGCCAAAGTACCAGCACCCGACAAGGCAGTAGAGGTGGGTGTATGAGGAGGAGGGGAGGGGAGGGAGGGAACAACAGAAAACAAGGGGAGAAGGAAAATAAAACAAACATAAAAATACGGAGACAAAGGAAAGAAAAAGACACGGTCAACACCTTAAAGCACACCACAATGCCTGGAAGTCAGCACAAACCCAGCACACAAGCCCAAAGAGCATGAAAGAACAAACACACACATCTTTAGTTCGTTTAACGAGTCATTCCAGGCCAACTCAGTAACTTGGGTCGAGGATTTTGTTTAAAGTTACAAAAATCTACCAAAAGCAAAAACCTCTCTCCACACCATTATAGATTTTTTTGTCTCGGAGATGAAATTTTTACTAGAAAAAGTAGTAAAATCCACAATAGCCAATCAGTTTAGTCTGTTTAGTACGTTTGTGAGTCAGTTTAAATAATGCTGTTGTTTAAATGCTTACTCTGTTTTATGACTCTCTCTGTGGAAGCATCTCTGGTTCCAGCTGGTCTCAGATCAGTCCAGATGACTTCAGGTTTCAGAGTCTCTCAAGCACAAATAGTTGATTTCTACAATTATATAAACCCTGGAAAACTAACGCAAATGTAATCATGTGGCCACTGTATTTAAAATGGCTGCAGAAAGAGGTCTAACAGAAATAAGTGGAGAATAAAAAGCCTAATTTAGTAATTTAGTTACTTTTTAGCTGCCGAATGCACTTCCATTTTATTCATCACAACAACAAAAGCATCCATTCAAATGTGGATTGTCTTTTCTCTGTTTAAATGTTTCATTCATTTAAAAGCAAACTTGGCAGTTTAGCTTGCTTTTAGCACCCTTTAGTGTCCATTATTTATTCTCTGTGGCCAAACCGAAAATGAAACCTATCTCCTTGCTGTCCGTTTGTCTTTTTAACTACTTAATCTGCTGAAATGTCTCCCTAGCCTTTATTAGTGTTTACAGGAGTGGTTCGTCACTAAAAAAATAAATAAAACTGTGCTCATGATCTAAAACATGCAGGAAACGTGCTGGAAGCAGACTGCAGCGCCAGGTATGTCGGCTCCATTTCTTTACGTCCCGACAGAGCGGACTGCCGGTCTGAAGTTGCAAATGTGATACTCTGGCCACAGGGGGCGATAGAGGTCTGAGCAGCCTTTCATAACCCTGTAAAGGGTCATTTAGCACATATGAGCTCAAGAAAATGATTTCAGAATATGAAAAAGTTGCTAAGTATGGCTTTAAAGATTTCAGCCCAGTCTAGTGAAAAAACAAGCAAAAATCCAGACTAACTTCAAAAGAGATTCAGACCAAGGATCCGAGTTAGTCGGCTAAGTCCTTGGACAGAAGGCAACAGGGTGTCCTGTCTCTGTTAGAAAAAGCCTCTGAGGTAGGAGATGAGGCACATCCATCAAATCCAACAACAAAAAGTCCAGTTACCCTCCATTTTCAGGCATTCAGGATGAATTTGCTTGGAATGACCAGAGACACAGAAACGACACATTAAGAACCAGACACACTGGTGCTCCAGCAGCCCAACCCAGTGAGGATCAGAGGGAAGGTCACTAAACCGCATCTGTCCTGCTCACAGGTGAGAGGTTAAATACGCTCTCACACGCCCCCCTCTGGGTGTTTAAACCCTCTAGTATTAGCTCAGCTCATGACAGAATAACACCGTTTCATGTACATTAATCGTGCTTTTCTGTTTTTGACTTTGCAGCGCAACAGTTAATTAGGAAATAAAACCCATGTTGTAACGTTAGACAGTTCTCCATCATAACCTGAAAGAAATCAGGACTCTTATGGGAAATCATGTGTACAGCTGAGGTGGAAGAGCCTCGAGCCTGACCTATACAAATACCACACCCGTTATTAGGCCAGTGGGACGGGTATAAATAGAGTGCTGGATCACCACAGTGGAACTGGGCGTATAGATTCTTGGAGCTGGGCAGACGGACTGAACTAGACGTTAACGTGACACCTTGACTGGAGGGGAACACATAAATCTATGCTGAGAGGGGGTGCAGGTGGGGGTCCATTAGCTGAATTACACGGGAGGCTGGTGGCTCGTGGTCTTCAATACTGAATGTCTTAAAAAAAGCCCCACAACAAGGTCCCATGTGTAAACACCAAGAGCTGCGCGTACAGGACTGTTATTATGTGAACATCTCCCGCGCCGGAGCTGCTTCTCCTGAGAGTTATGGAGCTCTAAGTAGAGGAGAGGAGTTAATACGAATGTTTAGGGGCCAGACTCAAGCCAGTACAGCCAGTCTCCTGTGTTCACACTTCTGACGTCTAATTGGGAGAGCATGACTGATGACACAGGGCTCTGTGCCACACACACACACACACACACACGCACACGCATGCGCACACACACAAGAACAAGAAGAGTGCACAGCTGGTAAGACATGCAGAAAATAGAGACATGCTGAACAAGCAAACACTGCAGGGAAGAAGGAAAGGAGGATCATTATGATCTGGGACTGGAAGAGTGGGCCATTAGCTGGTTAGCAGTCAGCCACCCGTAACACCCGTTCAGCTTGGGACGTGGAGGTGCTTACAGTTTTAGAACAGTGTAGGAGGTCTTTCGTGCATAATGAACAGATACAGAAATGTCTCCGTTAAACAGGGATCAAGATTTTTACGGCCTGGCAGACCTGTCCCGTGTCACTGTGATGTAGACTTTGTGAGGTGACACATAATGACGGGTTCTGGGCTGAATTATAGAGGGAGTGCATTTCCAGTGGAGGAATATTCAATGTTGTTCAGGTCTCGTGCTGCTCATAGCACAAGCAGAAGGCTGACTGTCAGTTGACCTACTGGAAACCACGATGCAGAGATAGCGTGTGCGTGTGCGTGTGTGTGTGTGTGTGTGTGTGCGTGTGTAGGCAGAGGTCAAGGTTTATTCACTCACAGCCAGAAACAGAATCATGCAAAAGGCTTTTTCCAGGACGCCTGGGGCTTGTATGTGGCTCTTTATGAGATGAAAGTAACCCATGCATTATGATCCTGAGCATCAGAAATGAGTCTGGTGTAACCATAACAACAGGTTCATCGTTCATGCCTTGTGTTTCTGGGCCTTATTTAGACAATCTTTCATTTAATGTTCACAAACTATTGGAGAGGTTGGGTCATCACTGAGGTCAGGAGATAAATATGCCTGAGAAAAACAAATGGCAATAAGTTCTCATTTGTTTTCATATGAGCGTCTGTTTTTAGATGAAAACTGTGTGAAACTCTAACCTCTTACAGGCTGCTGTTATTAAACATCTCAAACATAAAACTGCATTTGGCTGCATTCCAGATATTATTCCCAACTAAAGCAAAAAGTTTATTTTCTTTTTTTATTATTTTGACCATTTTGCTCCTTTGGAGCAGGATTCTGAAGAAATGTTCAGATCTGCAGCGCAGAGCTAAAGTTTTAAGGCAGGTGTGGAAAGAATGAGTTCAGACATAAACACAGATTTTTTTTTATTTTCATCATTTTACTAGATGTAAAGTTCGTGGCCCCAAACATCCGGACAAAGTCATTAGGAACAATCTTAAGTGTAAAGAAGAGCAAGAAGTCCTGGAAGTGATGGTCCCGCCTCCACAGAGCCCTGATCCCAGCGACGCGGAGCGGGTCTGGGATTACACGAAGAAAGAGAAGGATGTAGGGAAGTCTACATCCACAGAAGATCTGTGCTTAGTTCTCCTACCAGCCCAGTTTCAACAACTGTGCTCAAGTGTGGCTGAAAGATCTGATGCTGTGTTTAAGGCAGAGGGTGGTCATATCGAGTTATGTAGATGTCTCTTGTTCATTCACTGCTTTGTGTTGATAGATGAAACTAATGGGCCATTCCCATCTGTACCGGGTCGGCCCGGGCCGGGTAGCGTAGGTTGTTTACATATCTGGGTGGCCTGGTATTTTTCCGGGCCAACCAAGGCTCATTCTCAGCCCTCTTCTCGAGGGGGTCTGCTTCAGGCCGACCAGGGCCAACACACCCACTGCTGACAGCAAATTCACACCTTCCATTAGAGCAAGCCTCTGATTGGTGGGTAGAATCAGCCCACATGGGCTTAAGGCAAGGATGTGTGGAATCAACCGGGCCAGGCTGGGGCCGACTGGGGCTACCCGGCCCGGGCCGACCCGGTACAGATGGGAATGGCCCATTACTTCCATTTTTTAAATCATTCTTTGTTTACGGCATTTTTCACACCTGCCTAAAACTTTTGCACTGCTGTAAAACAACCGAGCTCTCGGAACAACCTCAATTTAGAGAAACACAGATGAGTAACAATCAGAGCAACACGCCAACAGCTAGTCACATCGAGGCCAGCTCCAAAGTGTTCAAATCAACCCTAACATAAGCAGGAAACGCCAACTCACTGTAACCTTTACATTACCATAAATATCTAACTTTATAGGTCGGGTTTTTTCTGGCAGAATTATGATCAAATTCCAGCCAGAAACACAAAACTAATATATATAATAGCCCTCCATCCTCCAAACAGCCTAATGGGCTCGACACACGGGAGGCGACAAACGACCGCGAATCGCGATCAGCGAAATTTGTCGCTGTCGCTTTTATTAGCTGACACACGGGAGGCGATCCGCGGCAGCGGCCAGCGGCAAAGCCGTCTACGCGTTCTGTTCCATGGCGAAATGGAAACTTCTGTTGTTTTGTTTGGCTGTGTCAGGTTGGAGGGAATTAAGGTTATTTAAGCGGTTCAGAGTTAATAAAGCGGTAGATATGATGTTTCACAAGGTGCTGCTAGAGTTATGTGAAATCTTACTTCTGATTTTACTATAAAACATAATAATAATCAACTTCTCCTTCATGTTCGCTCGGAGATGTACGGAGCATCCTGTCCGCTCATTGGTCAGTGAATGAAACCTCCGTTGATTGGTCCTCGTCCGAGCGACAGCGATGAAAAGTTGAAAATGTTTCAACTTTCTGGGATCCAGTCGCTGGGTCGCCTGTGCACGACACGTGCACGAGCGCAAAATTTCACACGCATGTTTTTTGCGTTTCGCTTGGTAGGAGGGAGACCCGCGATTATCGCTTTGTCACACATGTCTCATTGAAAATGAATGGAGGAGAGGCGATGTCGCCTCCCGTGTGTCGAGCCCATAAGATTGCCAACAAGGAAGAAAATCCAAGAGTTAACACAAATCTGTATCTGTGGGAAAACAGAGCTCAGAACTAAACTTGAGAAAGCGCAGGAAGTCATGGCAGGAAGTCAACAAATAATCTGACAGAGCAAAGAAATACAAGGCGGAAATGTAAACGGAGGTGTGACTGGACAAATAGCTGCAGATCAGTAAACCAGGAAAAGAACAGATCAACGTGGAGTCAGCCGATAGCATCTCACTTATTTTACTATAAAACAAACTAAAAATACAAAACTGGAGCTGAGGCCATCGCTAATCCCAAACAAGCTAAGCAAATACTGGCCTACTACTCAAACCAGGGGTAATGAAAACAGACATGACAGAAAAAGATGTTGCCCTTGTAACCTCTAGAATGAATTAAACATTGTGTTTTAGCATCTGTGACACCTGAAATCTTGCCACACACACACACACACACATGGATTTCTCAGGCAGATTTATCTCACCAGATGGAAAAACTCAAGATTTTTAATCATTTGGATCAATAATTGTTTGACTATCAACTTTCAGACACACTTTTAGTCGTTCTAGCCTCTTTCGGTGTTTGTTTCCCGCAAATCGAAGGTACTCGGATCATGGGAAAACTCCTACCTTACTCTTCCTGGTGAAAAGCCAAAAGTTTTTGCTCTTATTCTTCCCCAGAAGGTCCATGGGGCCTTTAGGCGTACCCAGACTGCTGTCTGAAGAGGCTCGATTGATGCCTTGGCTGTAGTCCTCAAACTCCTGGTCTCCAGGTCGCTCAAAACCCGACTTATTCTGCTCTATCACAAACATTGTGTCCTATATAAAAACAGCAAGAAATGAAAACAAAGTTTTGTTTAGACAAGTGTACAGATCAAACCCATAAGCTGCATGACCTCGTGACACAGTCAAATGTTCGATCTCTGAAAACCAACTCACATTCTTCTCATTTACGTTAGTGCCGGCTTTAGTAATGCCTTCCAGGCACTTGCCAATGATGGGCATCACATGTTTCTCTGTGTCTGAGAACAAGATGTAGCCTTGTGCTAACTTCCGTATTCGCCTCTCATCCAGATCCTGCAATTTCTAAAGGATACAGAAGAGTTACAGAGACCTAAAACTCCCCACATCTGAACACAAATCAGAAACGCTAACTCAGCCCAGATCAAAGTCCTGCTTTAACATTCCAGTCATCATTTACTAAACCATCACTGAGCTGCATCAACTACGATGACTCACTAGTGAGCGAGCTTCTACACTCAGAACTTTCTACTGAGGTCTTAAAGGTCAACGATGTTTTATGCAAACAGAAAACCTGGCATTCCCCCAGCCAGCTGACGGGGAGATCTTGCCATTGTAACCTTCTCTGCAACGTGATACACACATTGGACTGTTCTGTGACTACTTTACTGAACGATTCTTACATAGTTGACCTTTAAGGGCTGCAACGATTCGTCGATGTTATCGACAAATATCGACAATAGAAACGCCAGACGTGTTTTTTTCCGACCGACTGAGGCATCTCACTTCATAACCCCCAAATTCCACTACCTCCGCTCCGCTCCGCCCCCGCCTTCCGCAGCCGCTCGCTTCCGAACTCAATTTTTACTGCTACCCGCTCTACAACGGCTCCGCTCCGGTGCGGAGACCTGAGGTGGGCAAACAAGCATGCGCAGGATTTTCGAGATCTTGCGATACAGTCCGAGCAATAAACGCGGACGTTAGATCCAAACACCCGTTGTGTGGGAGAAGCATCGACATGAACTGTTTAATCTGCCCATCATTTGTGTTGAGAGATCAGCAGTGTTTGGATCAACAAAGTGTGACTACTTTGACAGTAGAAACTGTATTTATGGCTTACTTTTGTGCATTTAAACTTCAGCCGCCATTGATAGTTGTTAAAAGTTGTGAAACCTGTGCATATGAAACAAAAAACGCCTTTTGTTTATCGATTTATTGTGAAATAACGGAAGTTGTGCTTGCTCCTTTTCCTGTTGGGCGGTTGTGATTCCTGTCCATTTACTGCGGAGGTGCTCCGGCGTCCGGCGAAAATAGGATCGATTCTATTTTTGCCGGACGCCGGAACAGAGGGCGGCGCACTGCGCCGCACTGCCGCGGCACGGCCGCAGTAGTGGAATAGCTCTGATTGACTACAACGGGACCGATTTTGCTGCGGAGTTTGTGGCGGAGCGGAGGTAGTGGAATTTGGGGGTTACAATCTCTGCCGAGAGTCGCACATGCACAATAGCTTCTCTGCTGGGCGCCAACTAACAGAAATGGCGGCGTCCAACGCAGCAGCTACGCGTACCAAAACATCTAGAGTTTGGGAGCATTCTAGCCTGGATTCAGCGAATAAAAAGATGACCTGCATTATTTGCAAAGCAGTCCTCGCGTATCACAGCAGCACCTCGGTGATGCATGAACACTTGAGAGAAAACACGTCGGACAGTTGAATGAAACAGAGTCTGACTCACCTCGGTAAGATTTAAAGATCACAAAAGCCAACACGTTTTGTTTTGGGTGTACATTTTTTAAACGTATTTTCGCTTTTAAAAAAAAGATTTAATGTTCTGCCTGACCGTGCCTGACAAAAGTATTTTAATTTTATTTATGCATTTATGTCTGTACTGACTGTGCACTGCGCCCAATTGGTGTTAGGCAGGGCATTTTTATTTACTTTTAGTATGAATTGGCCTATCAGCAGCAAAGTTCAATAAAATACACATTTTCCATTGAAATACCCATCTTTCTTGTGTTTATTATCATTTTTCACATAATTAAAGCAATCTCATGCTAAATTTGAGAAAAATTTAATAATTAGTCGACTAACCGTTTCAATAGTCGTTAGTTGCAGCCCTAGAACCTTTGAGGTAAAAGTTGGCTGATTAATCATTTCTCATAAGATTGTGATTCAACGATCTGATTAGTCATTTTATTTTTATGCAAACAAACAGAGACGATGACGGGTACCGTCCCGACTTACATTGAAAATGTCTGGCATGTCGTTAAAATAGAACTGGCTCTGCTCCTTGTTGTACTTTTGAAGCTGGGAGGCGTAGTCGTTCTTACAGTCCTCTGCTGTGTGTGCTTTCATATTAGCATGCAGCTTAGCCTAAAAACACAGAGGAAAAACGCCTCCAGGTGAAAACAATTCACTCATCTCACTGTGAATTGTGTTGTGGACATTATCCCAGCATGTCTTACTTTTTCAACATCTGCTTTGGTGGCATTGATGTCCTGGTCCGTCTTCTCTGCGTTCTGTGCTGCCCGCTCTGCTTCTCTCCACTCCCTCTCAAATCGTTTTTTACTCTGACTCAGAGAAACAGAACAGAACTCGTTGGACCAGTGAAGAGACGCCGGTGCTGAGATTAAATATGAGAACGATCCTGTTTTTAAAGCTCTTTGTGACGGGTGATGCTTCACACATGGAGAGCAGAAAAAGTTCAACTCGAGCCAAACAGCTTTTACATGACTGAAGGAATGAAAACAGCTTCACTGTGCTGGTCTGTTTTTACTATTGACAACTCAAGCCGCCTGAGCGGCTGCACGGACAGGAACAGCATCCACCCTGACAGTATTTTACTCTTTAATTCTGCACACGGCCAAAAACCTGAATATTTTCATCACTCTTTTTATTTTGGGTCTAGACTCACAGTGTCGAGCTGCTTGTATGTGCTCTCCAAACTCTGCTGGGCCTTCTTGGCCTCCGTTAGATACTGCAGTTTCATGAAAATAGAACGACAGAAGGGTCAGATGACAGAGAGACAGGACAAACAATGAACTCAAAAAGCCACACTGCAAATCAGACCAGAAAACAAACACCAGTGTCTGTTTAGGACATAACGTCTTCAGCGAGAAGCTGCTGTACTGTTCTGCAGTCGGACATGACAGACGGAGCCTTTCTCGTGGAGAAACAGAACACCGCAGAACACCGCAGCACAGACCAGTTCTCCCACAGGAGGCTCTTAAGCGTCTTTCCTGCTGCAGCAGTCAGATCTCATCTCTGCTCCTGTAATAAACCTGTTTGCCACCCTCATGTTCTTCATCCTCCTCCTTAACAGTGTGTTGCGTAAATAAAAACCTCACTTGGTACACACATTTATGCTAATGTGCATTTTGTACTGGTCCAAAAGTTTTAACTTGCAGAAATAAGGGAGCGTGGGAGGTGTGATTTTAAAAACAAAGGTAAACAGCACAAAAGAAAGCGGCGATAACTACGTTTTCTGGTCCCTCTAAACAGAAAACCAACGGCTACTCTGCACAGCAAGCTCACCGTCTTCCGTTCCTGCTTGAGCTCTTGCAGGTACTTGGTGAGATCGATGCAAATGTTCATCATTAAGTTCTCTGCAATTAGCTCCCTCTGGCCCGCATAGTCGTTCATCTCATTCAGGATGTCCAAAAAAGACTGGTAGCTGGTCAGCCTATCATTTCAGAGGAGAAAGGAAAAGGGTGGAGGAATAAAGAGCAGCGGATGGGTCCAGTGATAACACGATAACTGCACAAAGCTCAGCAGTGGGCAAAGCCACAATAAGTAGATCATGACTTCCTTATTCCGGTTTCCTTTTGGGGACGTTTAAATGTTATCCACAACAACAGCGAGGACAACGCTGGTAAACAAAATGCTTTCTGACGGTTAAAAATGACAGGCAGAGCTTCAAATGCATCATCAAAAACATTCCTCACAACAAAACATGAAGCCGCTCACCTGCACTCTGGCTCATCTTTGCTGCTTCGTTTTTGGTTATATTTCTTGGAAAGGTTCCTGTGGACATCAACAATGCATCAAGTGAATACTCAACAATCAGGAAACGGTTAAAATAGGGATAATCTGGTGGAACCTTTGCAAGTTTATTCACAGCAGAAACAACAACCATCCACAATGAATATATTTATGTGTCTGCTCTTCCTCCTTTCACTCTCCCTCTGACCACATCCAGTCTATCATGTGCCAGTCTGCTCCCACTTCCTCTCCTCTCCAGCAAAGCTCAGCACTACAACAGATGTGAGCTTGTGTGCTGGGGGAGACAACAGGGTGAGAAAGAAGGGAGACGCGGGGAGGCAGCAAGCAGCACTGCAGCCAGAGAATCAGGCTAGTGTTTCAGAAACAAGCAATAAACTGTCCCAAAGCAGTCATAAGACCAGCAAACTCTTAACAGCCTTCACACACACACACACACACACACACACACACACACACACACACACACACACACACACGCACACGCGCGCTTATAAAGGAACAACAGAAGTGAGGCCTACCTCAGTTGTTTGGCGTAGTTTTGCTCAATTTCTGTCCTCTCCTTCACAAATTTCACGTACTTCTCCACCAGCTCCAGACCAGACTGCGTGTGCTTCTCTATGGTGTCATACTGATCCTGAGGAAACAATAAGAAGACAAATAAGAAACAAAAACGCAAGAGGCAGCATCTGTGCGAACCTCTAGGCCAGGGGTGTCAAATGTGCGGCCCGCGGGCCGGATCCGGCCCGCAAGCGGGTTAAATCTGGCCCACGAGATGGTTGTGTAAACTTTGTTTTCATACTTGACCATGTAGAGTGAAAATAAACTTATCTTTGTGAGCAAGTTTCCTCTGTAAATAAAACAAAGCTGCGCTCAAGGCTCACACAAGAACTTGAATCACATCCTGAAGTTGGCCGCCACTCAGGATGTGACTTCTGATGTTGATGTGCTGGTGAAAGCTAAAAGATGTAAAGTAAAATGAGTCAAATATACTTTAAGTGCTGCATGAAACTGATCTAGCCGTGTGATCTGTAAGCTCTTTGAATCACTAAGGAATGTTTTTTATTGATTGATTTTTTTTCACATTTTCAAGTACACTTCAGGTGTTGTACTTGTACTATTTTGGATACACTGTCCTCAGGCTCCAGCCTTGTTTTATATTGATTGTATTAAAACAAAGAAAACAATCTGAAGTTGTTTTTAATTTACCGGTCCGGCCCACTTGGGACTAGATTTCTCGCAATGTGGCCCCTGAGCTAAAATGAGTTTGACACCCCTGGTCTAGGCCACACCAGTGATGTTTCTCTGAGGCCTAGTCCACACGTAGTCGGGTTTTTTGAAAACGAATATCCGCCCCTCCAAAAACTTGCATCCACACCACCTCGTTTTAAAAACAAACTCTGTCCACACGTACCCGGATAAATACGTTGTTAAGGACATGCCAGACCTGTAGGCGGCAGTACTTCCCCCGTTCTTAACCTCGTCCTTCATCTGTGGTCTTCCACAAGCAGCAGTAATTCCGCTTGCAAAAACAAACAAGCAAAAAGCGCTTGGACAATTGATAAAGCGAGCGCAGCTCTGAGGGCTTCTATGATGCCGGCTAGTGTAAACACAGGTCGCACACGTGATGTCAGCATTTTTTTGTCGCGGAAAGTGACGTTGCGGACCTTAAAACTCCGGTTTTGTCTGTCCACACGCAGACACCCAAAACGGAGAAAACGCAGATCTTCACTTTGGCCGGAGTTTTAAAAAAGATCCGTTTTCGTGTGGATGACAGGCCAAAACGTAGAAAAATCTCTACGTTTTGGCAGATCCCCGGCTACGTGTGGACAGGGCCTGAGACTGAGGCGAATCAAAGGCAGTAAACTAAACACAACAATTATTTTCCTGCATGTTGGATTCCAGGAATGTTCTTCACATGTGGGAAATGTGTTGGAGATGGTTTCTTTACTCCTGCTTACTCAGGAAAAAGGGTACACTTATCGGGTACACCTTGCTAGTACCGGGTTGGACCTCCTTTTGCCTTCAGAACTGCTTTAATCTAGGGCTGCAACAACGAATCGATAAATTCGATGAAAATCGATTACTAAAAGCGTTGGCAACGAATTGCGTCATCGATTCGTTGTGTCGCACAACTTTTCCAAAAGCGCCCCCCCCCCCCCCCCCCCCCTTCCCGCCAGCCGTTGCGCGCAGACCAGAGCAAGTCAGATCAGCGCGAGGGAGAGCCACAGATCAGCGCTAGGGAGAGCCGCAGATCAGCGCAGGGAGAGCCGGCAGATCAGCGCAGGGAGAGCCGGCAGATCAGCGCGAGGGAGAGCCGCAGATCAGCGCGAGGGAGAGCCGCAGATCAGCGCGAGGGAGAGCCGCAGATCAGCGCGAGGGAGAGACGCAGATCAGCGTGAGGGAGAGCCGGTACCGGCAGATCAGCGCGAGGGAGAGCCGGGAGACTTGCGCTGCTGCGAACCGGTTCCGCATTGTCGCGCAGCGATCCAGGCAGCTTCTTCCAGCGCATGGTCCATTCTCAAAGTGGCGCAACCAAAAAACTATAATTAGCACACGATCGTTCATGTCCGCACATGTTCTCTATTTTCTGTCTTATTTGTGCCTGAAGCGCGCTACTGCGGAGCTCATCACCTGTGCTGCGGTGATTTCACCTCACGCAGCATCGAAAACGCGCTCTGCGCTTTTCGGTCAGGAGATCTCTTTGATCTGCTCAAAAGTAACTGATGAGGTGAAAAGGTAAGAATCCAGGCAACAGATTTTCTGGAGAATTAAGAGGAGATGCAGGAAGGTGAGAGACAGACAGGACAGGAAAATAGTTAAATAAAAACAAGAAAACAAAACAAAGTGTTGAAAAGTCAAATGTAGGTAGATTTATCTCCACTACACGTTTTTACCAGTAAAAAACAAGTTATACACATGTCATATTTATACATCTGATACAATTCAGATCACCTTCAAAACTCAGTCACACACCCAGGGCCGTTTCAAGACATTTTGGGGGCCAAGGCAAAATGCCCCCCCCCCCCACCCACCCCCCCCAATAACTGGGCTCCCCAGAAGCCTCTGTGTAATTCATGCCCTCTCCAGTAGTGTTAATTATATGGTGTTTATAAAAGCCCCTCAGACATTACTGACATGTTCTAATATTATCAGATGAAAAACTAAATTATCAGACATGCTGTCTCATCTGCTTCTTTTATAAACTTGCAAAAAGTAACAAAACCATTTGAAAGCCACTATTTGTGGATTCTCTGAAAGTTTCCATGGAGTGTGTGACAACTTATTTTTTCATTGATCCTATCGTCTAATCTCACAGCTGAAACAAGCATCCTTAATAATCTGTGCACAGGAAGCTTACCGATGCTGTAGTAAAACAAAAGGTATAATAATTTATTATTAATAAAACCTTGTTGCAGCACTAAAGCAGAAAATTTAGATTTTGCATTAAATATGCAAAATATTTACATATGAATTGTTTTAGAGCCCTTTAATTGGCAGAATCTGATATTAATTTAGTTCTTACAAAAAATGGGTCCCAACATGGTTTGTGTGGCGTTGCCATAGTGTGACGTCATAGGCACAGATCCCTGTCCTCTTGTTTGGAAATGGAAATATGGTCACCCTTAGGGTTGTCACGGTATGAAAATTTAACCTCACGGTTATTGTGACCAAAATTATCACGGTTTTCGGTATTATCGCGGTATTTTTTAAACTGTGTTGCATATGTTCAGAAAGCATTGATAGTCCTGTTCTACACAAACTGAAATAGTTCTGAAAATGTTTAACAGTGTTTATTAAACCTAAAATAACACAAAGCCTTAGCAAAAGTGCAACTTTTCACAAGTAAAGGAACAAATAGCTTATTTTTCTGGAACATGTTACAGTAGTCAGTGCAGGTTTAAATTATACAAATCCAAACATTCAAAACATAAACAATATGTAAACAAATGAAAGAAACACCACTTGTTTTCTCATATACTTGTTTTCTTCATTATCAAAATGAAAATCTAAAACTCCAGTCCACACTTGACTTGAGCGCTGTACAAGTCAACCTTAAAAAATATGTATTTAAAACAAATAGCCACTTTAAACAAATTACTAAAATAACTACTACACTATGTAATCAAATCCAAATGTTCAAGTATAAATGGCATTGAATAAGTAAACAAATCAATGACAGGAACTAATTGTATATTTCTCTTCATCATCAACAAATAAGATGCTTCATCCAGCAACAGGGTGTCCGTGACACGGTTTAAATGCTGGCAGAGGACGCTGCGGCTGCAGTTTATAGCGACTCGTTGCATTCTCCCTCAACCAAAAGTCCTCACGTCATGCATTTCAGCTAAAATGCTAATGTTAACTTGCCTTGCACTGGCTGTAGAGACGTGGGTGATCGTCACACAGATGTGCCATTAGATTCGAAGTGTTACCTTTTGCAGACACTTGTTTCCTGCACGTTCTGCAAACGAGATAGCCGTCTTCTATTAACTGTCCCTCAGCATTTTTCAGAAATCCCAAATATGCCCATACTTCCGATTTAGTCTTCTTTGAGGGCTGATGGATGTCCTGGGCGCTGCCGTCTCCTCCTTCGGCCATTATTTCAGCTTCAAAGTTTTGGTGCCGTTGCAAACTAAAAAGTGCGTGTGCGCGCCGCGGGAACTTCAGCTGAAGCGACGGTGGCTATTAAGGGTCATCGCGCCGAAACCGCGGCCACGGTAAACCCACCGAGATAATATAGTTTTTTAAAAACTGGACGGTTATTTTTATTGTCAACTTTTTTACCGGGGTTTACCGCTATACCGGTTACCGTGACAACCCTAGTCACCCTACATTAAACAAACTGTCCACCCGGGCTTTTGCACTGCACAGAGACGCTTCGCTGCCTACGACTGAACGTCAGTTGAGAGTCAGTCTCATGCAGACTGACCAATGAAGAGAAGGCCTCAAGTTAAGACCCTCTCCTCATTGGTCAGTCCACACGAGGTGGGTCAAAGGTTACTCTGGGCGGGTTACGTGTTGTCAGGCATTCAAGTATTGAGTATATTTACTGCATATTACAGTAAAATATTCTGTATGTGACCACATTATGGTGATCCTTGGGTCGTGATGATGGAGCCCTTGAATATTGTTGCCCAGGGTACAACAAAGTGTTAATCTGGCCCTGGTTCCGCCGTCACATTCCCGCAGAAACTGGTTGATCACACCGGGGCCAGACTAGCGTGTGGTTTTACAACCACAATGTCCTCAGAAGCAAAAACGCTTTTAAAAGGGAGGGAGGAGTCCTAACTGTTGCTGCAGGCGTGTTGTGTGAGAGTGCAGTTATATACTGGTTAATATATTTTTGGGTTCAGTTGCTTTCATGTGGCCTAATGTGAGTCTATTTGGGATCATTGGAATGATCAGCAGCATTTCTTGATGTGACTTTATGGCAGTTGCCCAGGGCATCATCGCAAGGAGGATGGCATTCATTTACTTTTGTTTTATTTGGTATTTTTTCAGTCATTTTTGGAAATAGTGATCAATTTTGATTAATTCACAGCCTACGTTTAATTACATTTAAAATAAATGTCAACAGATGAGATCAAACAAAACAGATGAGAATTGCCCTTAAGCTGTTTAACTTGGACCAAGCATTTTAGGTCACAGATAGATGTAGCTTAGGGTCTCTGTCTATACACCTTATAAGACAATTTAGGTGATGGCATGTTGTTTTTCTGCTATTGAACTGTTTTCTAATAATGTTGTGTTAAATAAAGTGAAGGAAGGAGAGAAATAACGTTTCCCAAGCAGTTTTTAAAAATTTCCCCATGTAATCCGATTAATCGATTAATCGTGTCGAGACCCCATCCGATTAATCGATTATCCAAATAATCGTTTGTTGCAGCCCTACTTTAATCCTTCATCAAGGCACTGGAAACATTCCTCTGAGTGTTTGGTTCATACTGGAATGATAGCATCACGCTGTTGCTCAGTTTGAACTGCAGTGGATCGTTTTGACCATGTCTACATGCCTAAATGCATTGAATTGCAACCATGTGATTGGCTGATTATTAATTTGCGTTAATGAGCATTTGGAAAGGTGTACCCAATAAAGTGGCCAGTGAGAGTACAGTCTGGGCACGGTCCATTGATGACTCAGTTGTGGGTCAGGATACAGTTGTCTTTCAATGCTGCCGAACAAACAAGGTGATGTACTCACCGCTACGTAGGGGAGTCAACAAGGCATCCTCCATACTTCGTCAAAGATGATGTAAACACATCCTTTATTAAAATTAACTTTAGTACGTATCTGTTCTTGACTGAAAGAAAAGTCCAAATCTAAATGGTCCAAAGTCAATGTTAAAGCCGTTTCAAACAAGCCGTCGCCATCTTTGTTTTTTCAGTAACGTCCCGCCCACCAAACAGACAGAGAGCTGTGGGTGGACCGGTACCAGACTGTCCGAGGCTGTGGAGGTTCCAATGGAGCATGGCTAGACCGTCCTTTCGCTTCGGCACAGTCTAGGTTCTAGGCAAGAA